AGAAGACCCACACCAGCCATCGGACAAATCTTACTTTCCTAAATGGTGCTATGAAATTTAGAATAAAATGTGTAAACTACTCTCCCAAAGCTAGACAAGGCAATCAGATTTAATCAAGGCATCACAAATATCAGAGGTTTATTTATGGATTTCACATTAAAATTCACCTCAAAATTAGCTACAAGAACTTTAATAATAAAGCAATATAATATACTCTTAAAATGAGATTAAAATTAGTTCCAATAGGAGAGAAGGACTCCACACTTGGTCGACTCCACCAAAGTCTCCACAATTAAAATGAGTAAAAAGAACTATAGAGAATTAAAACTGGTGTTTTCAAATGTTAATTTTGAAACGTCTTGACTCCATTAATATGATGTAAGATAGATGTTTGCTTTATACTGTAATTTTGGATCTTAACTGGATGCTAAAAATATGGTACAATCATAGTTTCAAATCCAACCTTTCATCATACTATGATTACTTGTCAATGTGTCTTGAGTTTTCTAAGCATCTCAAGTAATATTATGTTAATAAACTTTCAAGTTCCTATTCATGGTTTTTATTTGACATACAACTTACTTGTTAAGTATTTTGCATCTTTTAGCACTTGAAAAATTCTCCAGTTGTAATGACTCTTGGGTAAGAAAAGCAACAGCAAGATGAAAATAGTTGTTCCAAAGCTGGAAATTGCAAAAATACAAGAATCATCAGTATTACAATACTGAAATATATTAACACAGGAAAGTTTTCAAAATGTAATTTATATCATGTATATTAATGTCAAGAAGGCATAAAGCTACATTCATTCTTGATAGAATCTTTGCGCATTGCTGCATTATATTGATTGAACAAACTTGCCAGTCTAGACATAGTGAAATCAAGTAAAACAGAACAGGAATTAATTAATATCTATTTATGTTGTACTTAAAGTGAAAAAAAAATCTTAAATGTAGCTTGAGAGACCCCCAAAAGAAGATAGGTGTTCTTTATTGTTCTATTGAATACTGAAAAAAATATATAGCACACAAGGGTCGAGGCTGATACTTTAAGTTTGATTTCTGAGCAAAATTTGGCTTAGTGAAATTAATCAATGAAGTATCTGAACAAGTTATATGATATAAAACAAGTGATCCTATATTTACTTGATTAAAACAAAGAAACATGTTGAAATCAATTAGATCCCTAAAGATCTCAAAAGGTTCCTAACCAGATTAATGCTGAAGTTGCTATATTGATTTCCTTTTCAGCTTAATTCAGTTCCTGGCTCCATTCTAAGAGATGCTTATTACTTTTAAAGTTTAAACAATTCAAGACTACAACACCTAAGAGTCAATTTCCTATCACATGAACCTGCCCACTCTCTGAGTTCATTTGATGAAAATTGGCTGCTTGACCCATTAGTAAATGGATCTTGTCTGGTAACAATATCCAACAGGACTTTCAAGTTGCAGCTGTAGACTTCTGGGATGTCTTGCCTTGCAAAATCTACTTGGTGATTTTTTGCACTTCACTGAATGCCTTACCTATTGAGGAAAAAACCTGAGATACAGTAAAAGAGATTCTAATGAGACCAAAAATGTAAGAAGCTTGAAATAATAATGTGGAGGAGATCTGGAGAAGGAAAAGGAAGATTTGAAGGTTTGAAGAAGGGAAACCTGTGTATATGGCTACTACAAAATGTGCAGAAAAGACCTGAGATTTCTGGCCACAAGGTAACCTTACAGCCAAATATATTCTTCTTAGATGGGAATGTGTAAAAATCAATGTGCTATCATTGACATGCAAATACAAAACTATGACAACCTGGTTTGGGGGAAAAAAAACAGATTAAGGAAGCCAATGAAGTTCTTCTGAAATGTGGTCTGTGGTGTAATAACCTTTCAGAATTTTCTCCTTACTATCCCTTGATTAACTCAGAACTTAAATAATATGGATAACTAATATACAGATTGTCATGTCAAAAATCTGTACATATATACAGATTATCAGTCTATCATAACAAATTATGTGAATGCCATATCTTATGCCACAAATTGATAACAAATTCAATGAGCAACTTAAAAAGGAGGGTCAAAAAAACATATATTGAGAAGGATTTTTAAAAAATAAGAAATAAGGAAGACAATATTCAGTGTATGTTTTACCTGTAGCTCAAAGCTGGTTTGATCAAGAAATTTTTTGTTCAGCATATCTGCATACTGATTAATTGCTCGCAAAAAGACTCTGAAAGAGCAGGAGAAAATTACATAATTACACATTTAAGACTTCAGTACCTTTGTAAGTTTGGCATTCCAATTAGACATAAATCTCAAACTGCCAGGAAAATAGAAACCATAGCAGTTATTTTAAAATAAGTGCAATTTTACCACTGTTAAGTATACAGAATTATATGCAGATATTTCAGAATCAATCAAGGAAATTAGCATATGTAGAATATTATAAACAACAAGAGCCCTTTGGATGAATTCATTTCTCTTTACCATAAGATCATCAAAAGATCAACAATTCTACTTACACATAAGCAAAAAAAATTTGTTTCATAAAGCCACATGTATTAATGCTTAAGAATCAATAGCTGATGAACAGTGTTTTGAAAATTCCAGTTGTTAAATGCTGTTATCTTTATGTATAATTTATGTATAGTTCATCAAAAAGACCATATAATTGGATAAAAACCTCCCCCCAAAAGAATGACATATAAAACTCAATACTCTTAGCAAGAACAAATCATACTTTCAGTGCCATAATATATGTGTAACTTCCTGGTCCCCGAGTCAAAGCTTTCAGATCCCCATCACCACCATGATGAGAAAACTCAAGCCCTGAGCCCAAACCAAGGCTGCAGCAAGTGAGGGCAGATAATAGCAAGAGTAGATCACATTTCTGTCTCTTCCTCACTGCTGCAGCGGTAGGCCTGAGTTCCTGTGAGGGCCTCCTCTAACCTACCCAGACTCTGCAAAGCATCCATTCTGCTACTAAGGAGAGGAGGAAGACAAAGCTGAAGTTGTTAGTAGTAGTAGAAAAGGTGGTATAGCAATAACTTCTCACTCTATTTTTAAAGATCAAAGATTCAGAGTGAAAGTGCCCAAACCTTTGTTTTCAAATGTTTCATCAGCAGATTGCTCAAACTGGTGTTATTAGCATGCCAACTGAAGCCTTGGTAAACTATCCTGACTTTTAAAAGGTATAAATAATGTAGGTCTGTGACATTATCGGAGAAAGCACTGCAATAAGAAAGGGCAGACTCAAACTCTTTCTGAATTACCTATCTTGTTTACATAATAGCAACCAGAGTAAAGAGGAACCCACATTAAGACAGAAATAATAAACTTAATTATTCCTAATACATTTCAACATTAAGTAATAAAGTTCAGAAAGTGAAAATATATGGCATTTCATAGTTCTCGGCACAGAAGGGAACTCCTGCAGAGGAGTCAAGGATCATTAGGTACATTTAAAGATTATCTCATAATATGCTAAAACTTACATATTTATTCCTCTTCACTTTTGATTCTTCCTTTTCTTGGACCATATTTCGCTGAGCATTCTAATTCAGACATTTTTCTTTTTAAAGAATGTCCTTAAAATGTTATATCTGAATACAGCCGAGAGAAATCTGCTAAATCAAACATTAGGTCATTTTTTACAAAATCTCTCCCTTTTCATCTAGTTCATTACTTTCAAAATGTGCATAATTATACATATCTATCACTGTTCAACAAAATTAGATAAAGAATTCCACTAATGAAAAATTATTAACATGTAAAGCTGCCTTATACTGAGTCTGCTGGGTTCATGCATCACGCTAAGTAAAACTAATCCATGATTTGTTAAGTACAATTAACAAATATGGGTATGTAATATGTTGAGCAATAAATGATGGCTTATAAATGACAGCGTCTTAGTCCACATAGCATGATAAACCACGACCAAGAAACCACTTTATAGTATAATATGTTACATGAAACCAGATCCTTTAGTCTAATTCTGATATACTTATATTCAACATATTGCAAATTGTGTAAGCTTTCACATTTTTAATAGCCTGCAAGCTATTGCTTTATGAAAATTATTATGCCATTTCTTTTACATAAAGCAGCATGAGCAAGTTAAAAATAGGAATTCATACCAGTTCAACAGCACACAAAAAAGTATACTATTGTAATAAGTACCTTGAAAGTAATTTCATGTTGGCATATTATTTCTGGTCATGAGGATGACACATACAGAAGAAACATACCTACAATATATAGCTCAGTACTTGAAATGATTAGAAAAGGAAATATGTGAACCCAGTGTACTTTTGAAGGCACCAATCATGGTTTCAGCAAGATGGCTATTCCCTCGTCTCTCAGAGATCTAAACCCACCAGAGACTGCTTTCTTGCAGTCTCCTTGTGAGGAGCAACTGTATGGAGCACTTGTGGGCAATCTCAAGTCCACTCCTTGTCCAGAGAGGAATTATGAAGAGCCAGTCTATTTGCCGGTTCTTCATTCTGCCACGGTTGTCGGCTCCACTTTTAGCAGAGCCATCTTCAGTTCACCATTTCTTCCCTGGAGTCCTCCCTTGTATTTAAAATTTTCAATAAAATTATATAAAAAAATAAAAGTTAATGGTAGGGCGTTATTTACAGGTTAAGAGGGAATCTTCAAAATGTATGACTCAAAAGAATGTGCCTAGAGACCCTGTTCCATCATTGGTCCAATTAAATGAATTTTATTGGTTTCCATAACACAATCTGGACTTACACAAAGCTAAACTAAAACATGGCTGCTTACCATTTTGAAGTGGAAACCCTAAAAAATGTAGCACGAACCCTAAATAGTTTTAAAAATAAACAAAAATCTGAACCTCCCAACATCTTTTGACAAGTAGCTTAACAAAAATCCTGATCCCAAAATGCTGCCATCCCCATTAAAAAGTTACATCCCTATTATAAAGGCTTCTTAAGTATCCTTAGTAAATTACTAAAACAGTAAATAAATGCCAAACAATAAAGAACCAAAAAAGACCACAGGCTACAGAGTTGTTAAAAGTTAAGCCTTACATTTCACCCGTGTAAGGTTATACAAATCATCATTCTCTAAAGGTTTCTCTTTTTGTTAATGAAAAAATAAAGTTCATTATGGTACATCAATACCTGATAAACAATTTCTCGAAGAACCCCCCCACACACACACAGTGAAATTTTGATTTTCATCCTGTTTCTGCCACTTTTGTTGTTCTTGATTAAACACCAAAATTCAAACAAAACTCACTGCCTGGAGGAAAAATGCTTGAAAGTTAAGAATAAACATTTCTTGCTCTTTCTTCTCTAGCAATATAATCAAAACGGTAATACAGCTGTAGAATCTGTTCTGCTTTGCTAGTCTGAGAATACATGTATTGCTGACACTGCTGGAAATGGATCACTAATGCCTGGAAAAAGAAAAATCTTTTGAAGTTTTAGGTAATCTTCTGATTGAGCCACACAAAAGCTGACATGTTTTCATATTTCAACAGGAGAGAGAACATAATTTTTAGGAAGTGAGGAAGCAGATGTTAAAGTGATCCTGGAGAGAAAGTATTCTAGCAGCTAGTAGGGAGTTGGCTCCACACAATAGTATCTGCTTCTTTGAGGGATGGGGCCCATGTGCTTCCTCCTGAAGAAGCCTGTGCTGGCCCAATTGTTCTGGACAAATTTTGTCCAGTTTGCAACTCTCTCTTTCTAGGTGAGGTTGTTGGGAAGGGTTACAGCTTCAGAGGATCCTGGAAGATACAGATTATCTGGACCCTTCAGACTGGTTTCAGACTGGTGCATAATAATGAGGCAGCACTGATGAGCTTTGGAGGAGCTGGAACAGGGGCCAGGCAACCATCCTGGCTCTACTTGATCTCAGTGTTTTTCAATATTATTGACCATGGTATTGTTCTGGGCCCCATGGTTGGGTCCAGTCAGTTTTGACAGGGGGTAAGAGATTGAGTGAGAAGCCTCTTCCTATATAAGGTATCTCAAGGCTTGATGCTCTCAGCCCTTCTGTTTAAAATCTACCCAAGGCTGCTGAAGGAGATCATCCACTGATTTAGGATCCAGTATCATCAGGATGCAGATGATATCCAGATGTATATCTTGGCCCCGGGCTGACCAGGTGATACTGTAAGATCTTGCCTCAGTGTCTAGAAGCTGTGTGGATCTGGGATGTGGAGGAATAGGATTAGGCTCAATTGCGATAAGACTGAATGGTTGTGGCTGTTTAGACTGCCCAAGTCTGGAGTGCTCTCATCTTTAGCTCAGAACAGGGTTGTACTTCCCCTTTCAGGACTGATGCACAATTTTGGAGCCATAGCAGCCATGGTCAGGAAGGCCTTTGCACAAGTTAATCTAGTGTCACTTGTGCCCATACCTGGACCAGGAGGCTCTTAAAACAGTCACTCATGAGTTGGCCACTTTGCATTTGTACTATCATAATGCACTCTACATGGCACTGCCGTTGTTAGTACTTGGCAGCTGCAGCTGATCCAAAGTATAGAGGCATTTAATACCTCTGCTTCTTTTAGCTACATGACTACCAGTAAGCTCCAGGGTACAATTCAAGGTGCTGGTTATCACCTATAAAATCTTTCATAGTATAATACCTAAGTATTTGAGGGACGACCTATCCCCAGTAGTTTTGGTCAGACAAATTTGGTATAGTCTGAGTCCCATTGATTAAATAGTGTTATCTAGTGAGACCTAAGGAGCAGGCCTTCTCTGTCATATCACCTGCCCCCTGTAACAGTATTTCCCTATGGCCCCCATCTCTGTCATATCACCTGCCCCCGTAAGAGTATTTCCCTATGGCCCCCATCCTGACCTTATTTAAAATAGCCCTTAAAACTGGGATATTGGGGAAACTTTTGATGTCTCGCTTGTCATGGTCAGATCATGCCCTGATTACCATGGGATTCTCTGGCATCACTATCCACTACAGGGAGGCTGGACCCATAATATTTGTCCGCCATCGGACAAATGAACCTGGAGGGGTTCCAGAGGGAGCTGGGGGTTGTTCCTGCTAGTCTGCTGCATGCCCCATCCAAAGCCTTGGTCGCTGCCTGCAATAAAGGGGCAGCTGAGGCTTGGTTCACATCACATTTATGCAGCCTCTCCCCTCTCAAGGATCCCGTCACTCTCCGTGGTTTATGGAGGGGTTAAGGGAGATGAAACAAGAGAAGACATGTCTAGAGTGTTGCTGATGCTCATCTAAGGACAAACTCAACCGAACATGGGTTAAGGCTGCTA